GTCCAACGTTTATATTTTTTCTACGAATCTTTGATTTAACATGTACTAAACATGAGTGGAATTTGCACCGCAGCGCCCCCACACCTTGATGCTCATGACAAGAATAGCATGTATAGTTATCTTAATTGAAGTGAATTGGGTTTAAATCGCTGTCATGTATGAATGAATTATATTTTTGCAATTTTACACATAATACACATTACACAAAACTGAAATTGCACGTCAAAATAACACATTGTCAATATTTTTTGAGACCCCCCAAAATTTCACAAATCACGTTTTCAGGGGAGCCCATGTCTTTTTGTAAGGGGAGCTGAGCTCCCCCTAGCTCCCCCGTAGTTCGCACCCTGCATACTTCTCTGATGCACACAGTATGCAAAATGCATTGTCAAATGAGTAGAATGTTCATTACAGACGGTATTCTTTGCACAAATTACTAACTTTAATAATACTTGTTAAAAACCATACTATAATTACAAAAATATCGCATGAAATATACATTTAAGCTCTCGCATTAACTTTAAAATGTAGATTTCAAACGACTTTTGTTCATGTCAACCTAAACAGCATATATACAGCCTTTTTTGCCCCACTGTATATGCTGAATTGTGTTTGGTAAAACATCTGGGTCACATGGTTTATTAATGCAGTGATTATTCCTATGTCTTGTCATAGACTACTCTGGGCCCTCTGTTCAGAAACTCTCGTATGGTGCAGTTTCTGTTTACTAATAAAGATATGGAGTCTTTGAAGGGACTGTATCGCATCATGACCAATGGATTTGTGAGTACAATAACAGAATCATATTCATAACCTCCTCCTCTAAGGTACATCAGTCAGTTCAAAATTAATAATCAAGCTAGAATCTTCTCATATAGGCCAAATTTTTATGTTCTCCATGAATTTATCTATATTTTTATACTATATTTAAGTGTCTATTTCCCATTGCAGACTTCTAAAGAAATTTTGATAGTGTGTAATAATGGTCTTCATCCTCTTGGGGGAGTTCTTCCTCTGGTTTTGAATGTTAGAAAGATTTTCATATTTAGCCATGAAAAAAGACAAATAAAAAAAAAAGTCACATAGCCAACATTTCCTCTGAAAATGAAAGGCTCTGAAATGAACCTTTACCCTGGAGCTAGATCCCTTGACGTAGACTAAGAGATCTGTAAGAAGTGAATCACCATTAACACTGATTAAATTCAGTTTTAGGTTCAATCTGTGTCTGGGAAACGGCTGCTTAGTTAATTTTAATCCTGTCTTCAAATATAATCGTGCAGGCCCAGTCAGCTCTCCAGTCACTCTAGTTGTGTGTGCTGTCTAGATGTGTGGATTGGCACATAGTTTGATGTATATTGTGTGTGTGTGTGTGTAGGCTGGTTGTGTGCACTTCCCCCACAGTGCTCCGTGTGAGGTGCGTGTGCTGATGCTGCTGTACTCGTCTAGGAAGAGGATCTTCATGGGACTCATCCCTAATGACCAGAGCGGATTCGTCAATGGCATTCGGCAGGTCATCACTAACCACAAACAAGTGCAGCAGCAACGCTCGGTGAGTCAGACGGTGAAATGTAGTATTTATCACTATAAACAAACACAGTTATTGATATGAAATGGACAGAGCAGCACAATACTGTAAAATTGTAAATATAAATGCTCACGTGAAATCTACATCTAAAGTAGCACAATCTTTTTGTTCCTGTAAAATGTTTGCGTAAAAGAACAAATGTTTTTTTTAACAGTTTATTTAACAGTGAAATTGATCCTGTTATGTTTCTTGCACCTTGTGAGCAGCTGTCTCCGGTTTTGCGTTGATGTTGCACACATAATACATATGGCACCTAAAATTAACACTTGCTAAGTGCTGAGTTAAAACACCCATTGCTTTGGCAATTTAAAACAAATGCCTGCTGATCGGTAACTATTTTTAGGACCTGCAACATATAATGCAAGGTTAAAGTAAACATTGCCAAATTGTATCCATGTGTCCCTGACACATGTCCTGGTTGGCATCAACATGCAAAATATTGAGGATCATACCAGCCATTCTAGAGGAAACCGGAGACGAAGAACCTGTTTTACTTTGACAGTATGTGACCCTGGACCACAAAAACCAGTCATAAGGGTCAATTTTTTTAAATGGAGATTTATACATCATCAAAAATATGAATAAATAAACTTTCCATTGATGTATGGTTTGTTAGGACAATATTTGGCTGAGATACAACTATTAAAAAATCTGTGGAGATGTGAAATTGAGGGGTGTTCTTGAGATCTGCATGTGTTTGTTTAACTACAATAGCAGCTAATCTTGTGGCTGACTCCAGCTAATATGTGTGTAGGTTGTTTTTTTTTAAAGATAGAAAAGCATAATACTATAGCAGTATTAAGCTGGATGTAAGTTGGTTACATGAGGTAAAACAAGGAAACTCCCTAATATGATTGATTTACAGGACAGTGAAGTCAGAATATTTCTTATATTTATGAGTGTCTTTGTATATGTTATTTTATCCATCAAACAGGAATTGTGCGCTCTCAAAAAGAAAAACAATTAATTCTCAGGTGAGTAGAAAAAAAAGGAGGACGTTTTAGTCCAACAGGTAGCTGAAATTGTCCGCACACTGGAAAAATCCAATCAGACCAAAAATTCTATCAAAAATATATTTTTTATTTTCCATATGCAAAAGTGACAAAAGTGCAAAGTGTCTTAAAAACAGACCAAAGAACAGACGTTTCAGCCCATGCTTTCTTCAGCTCAGTGCTATATGTTATTTTGTTAAATATTTATGTACTGTTATTAAATTAAATATTATTATTTCATTTTGTATACATTGGTGTTTACTTAAACACCTTATAATAAAATTGTATATAATTGTCAGAAATGTAATTCCTTACATATTTAATTAATTAAAGACTTGTCTCTAGTTAGTTTTGTTTTCAGAGCCAGTGCACCTTTAAATCATTAAATCATATATAAATTGTTTGTAGTTGGAACAATAAATTCTCAAAGAAGCATATCCTCAGATCTGTAGTTGTTTCACATTTTTTGCATCACTGGACAAAATGTTGATTACCAAAATAGTCACTTTAAAAATAATAAATTAATAAGTACTGTTTCAATAGTGTGTTAACATGATCTTCATGTGAAAAAAATCACTAGCCTTTTCTGTGTATGGTTCTATTTTTCAACTTCATTTCAATTAAAAAAGGCACACCTAAAACCCTGTAATAGCTGTAAATATGACAAACCCTAACCCCTTTTACTTCCATTGTGAGTGGCTTGCCACAACCCTGACTCTTTTTTAAGAGGTGAGTTGAAGTAATTGTTTTCAACATTTTGCCACAAGTGCTGTTGATTTTGATCTTATCTTGTATTGAACCTAAAAATCACTGCACAAAAAATAAATAAATAATTTTTTTCAAGTACGAGTTTGATGCATACAAAATCAATTATATGGTCACATGCTTGAAAATGTGCATGCCATGCGAACTCTAGCATAAAAACCTGTACAATATTGAAAACATACTTGCACACAACTATACCTTCATGAAAAGAACAGCATTTTGGGACACTTAAATGAAACAACCAAAAAATTTGCTTAAAGTGTGCTTGTTTTTTAATTGTGCTATTTTTGTGCTTTGTTCTTTAATTCTGTCATTAATCCATCGCTTGTCTGTATTCTCAGATGAACAATGTTGTTCAGATGCAACCTGGACAGGTCCCACCCAATCAGAACTTCCTCAACAGACCGCCGGGCCCCATCCCCGTTACGCATGGCAACGTGCAACAGCAGGTAAAGCAGCAGTGCTTCCCCCTCTCCTCTCTCCCCTGCCCTGCACTCTCTCTGTCTCTGGCCCTGTGCACTCACCCTGTTTGTATTTCTCCTCGGCTTGAGATGGAATGTGCATGCTGTTCTAAACCCTCCTGGTATCCTCCTCTCTGTCCCTCTCTGTCCCTCTCTTTCTGCCTCAGTCTGTGGTGGTGGGCTTGCCCTCCGTCAGTCAGGTCATACTGATGGAGGACCAGCAGAGACAGAACAACATGGTGAGAATCAGAAACATAATTATGCATGCATGCATGCACACACGTAGGACCATGTTTTCTGCAAGCACAGGGATTCACAGCTTGATTTTCTGCCATTTCTCCATCTTGTGAACAGCGTTGTGTGTTAAAGGGGACATTGCTGAATGAAGTCTCTTATGCTCACCAAGGCTACCTTTTTTTAGATGCCGTAAAAACAGTAATATTGTGAAATAATATTACAGTTTAAAATGTTAATATTTTACAATGTAATTCATTCCAAGCTGAATTTTCAGCTCCAGTCTTCAGTGTCACATGATCCTTCAGAAATCATTCTAATATGCTGATTTGCTGCTCAAGAAACATTTCTTATTATTATCAGTGTTGAAAACAGTTACTTATTTCACTCACTGAAATGCAAATTGTTTGGTTGATATTCTGTCTCTGTCCATTAAAATAAATCTACCATAAAAATTACAGACCCTTCATTTCTTTGTAAGTGGGCAAACTTAAAAAATCAGCAGGGGATCAAATAAATATTTTCCCCACTGTATGGGTCATTCATATGGAAATAGGATGGATTACACTGGTTGCACTGAAAACCATTCCCTAATCAGTGAGTCTTTTGAGTTGGATCTTTTAAATAAAATGAAAAATACAGTGTTACAAGTGTATGTTTCATGATGTTTTACCTGAGGCTGTAGAGATTTTCAAAAACAGTTTGTTCTTATGATGTTTATTTAAAAACAAATTAATTTGTAAGTTAATTTTTTTATAAAAAATAATAAATGAATGCATGAAATATGTTACTACGTTGTTTTGCATTATTTAATGCATAGTTACTGCATTTAATCTGCCTCTGAAAATACATCTTTAAATAGCCTGGAATCATGCATTTTTTTTCTATGGTTCCCATCCATAGAATAAACAATTCTGCTTGTGAATATCTAGTTTACTTTTTCCTAACTGTGTCAAACTAAACTCTGAATATCTGTGTGACTATTGGTCCATGGGCTGAGACTAAAAAGAGTGGAAAATGGTTATGTAAAACTAAGTTACGACTGTATTTGATGTGAGACATGTATTATAAGTGGACTTCTGGGAAGAATACTTCAAAGTGTGGAATATGTCCCTTTTAATACCTTTCATACAGTGTTACAAGTGTATGTTTCATGATGTTTTACCTGAGGCTGTAGAGATTTTCAAAAACAGTTTGTTCTTATGATGTTTATTTAAAAACAAATTAATTTGTAAGTTTATTTTTTTATAAAAAATAATAAATGAATGCATGAAATATGTTACTACGTTGTTTTGTATTATTTAATACATAGTTACTGCATTTAATCTGCCTCTGAAAATACATCTTTAAATAGCCTGGAATCATGCATTTTTTTTTCTATGGTTCCCATCCATAGAATAAACAATTCTGCTTGTGAATATCTAGTTTACTTTTTCCTAACTGTGTCAAACTAAACTCTGAATATCTGTGTGACTATTGGTCCATGGGCTGAGACTAAAAAGAGTGGAAAATGGTTATGTAAAACTAAGTTATGACTGTATTTGATGTGAGACATGTATTATAAGTGGACTTCTGGGAAGAATACTTCAAAGTGTGGAATATGTCCCTTTTAATACCTTTAACACCGTTACAGTGGCTCTGTATTCGCGGTTCTCTCCTGTGAGACTCGCACACAGAATTAGCACTTATGTAATACAGTGTTTTACAGCAACCTTTTCATGTCCACTTACTTTCTATCTTCATCACTGTGGTTTTGATTTTCATTAGCTGAGAGCAGTCATAACAGGTAATCAGCAGCCGCCGGTCACAGGTGCTCCGCCCAATCAGGTGGCCCAAGCTCAAGCCCAGCCTCCTGGTGGCATGCTGCGCCTCCCAAACCCAGGCGCAAACCCCCAACTCCGCAGTCTCCTCCTCAGCCAACAACCTGTAAGTGTGTGCAGCGAATAGCACATGAAGCCCTTCTATAGGACTTCCTTAAAGGAATAGTTCACCCCAAAATGAAAATTGTGTCATTAATTACCCTCATGTTGTTCCAAACCCGTAAGACCTCTGTTCATCTTTGGAACACAAATTAAGATATTGAATAGTTGATAGTTTGAATTTGGATGAAATCTGAGAGCTTTCTGACCCTGCATAGACAGCAACACAACTACCACATTCAAGGCCCAGAAAGGTAGTAAGGACATCATTGAAATAGGCCATGTGACATCAGTGGTTCAACATTAATTTTATGAAGCTACGAGAATACTTTTTGTGCGCAAAGAAAACAAAAATAACTTTATTCAACAATTCTTCTCTTCTGTGTCGGTCTTCGATGCACATTCACAATAGGGTTCGGATGCCATCGTCCATTGCCGATGGCTGACAGACATCACAATGTTGAGCCAGCATCGTGATTCCTTCATCCACCCCCTCTCCCGCAATCATAGAACGCGTAATTTTTTTCCCATGCCTTTCCGAGTACGGATTCGCGCTTCTGGCACTGCCCTAACCCTGCTCCCCCCACCCCCCGATGTCATCAATCATCGCGATGTTTCAATATAGACATCGTCTGATGCCAATTTGGTAGACTTCGCCCAACCCTAGTTCACGACAGTACCACGTCGCATGCGTGTGCATTCCTCTGCTTGCAAACAAGCCGCGGCGCATCTGAGTCCTGCGTCAGCAGCACCACACACACACGTATGTGTCGTGGTATTCTCATGAACGTGCGTCGAAGACTGAGACAAAAGAGAAGAGTGTTCCAAAGATGCACGGAGGTCTTACAGGTTTGGAACGACATGAGGGTGAGTAATTAATGACAGAATTTTCTTTTTTTGGGTGAACTATCCCTTTAAGCTGCGGTCACACTAAAACTTGAGTATGTGAAATTTCTACAGATGCTGCAAAGATTGTAATATGACGCCACACACTGCAGCATCTTAACATAATTCAACAAATAATTAAACATATGATACATAAAAATATGCAGTCTACTCCACTTTACTGCAATCCTGCATATTTAAAGTTTGCATTCTTTTAATTCAGATAAGAGGTCACATTGTGATGCATCAGTAATCTATGGATTCCACGTCTTCAGGTGATATGAATTCACAGGTCAAGAGTTCACCAAACCTGAACTTTGAAACGCAGCAAAATTCGCATGAGCTTGCATTTCCTGTCTCCTGCATTCGCATTCATACTGTAAAAATGGAAGTCAATTTAATGAAAGTGCCGTTCACAGTTCGGCTTGCTTTTATATTCCATAATCTCTCTCTGCAGCAGGGTGGGATGCAGGGCATGCAGGGAATGCATGCCATCCAGCAGATGGTCCATCCTGCACCAGGAGGGGGCGCTCAGATGCTGCCTCAGTGGAGGCAGCCTCACCAAGGTAGCGCTTAATTTCCAGTACAGTATCATTAGCACAATTTATTTTTATCACATCTGTGACCTCGTTAATTGTGTAAGAGATTTCATTTATTTGCTGTGGCTTGTACTGCTATTTATGTTTAATCTTTTTTAAAACCGTTTGGATACGTTTACGTGATAAGTTTTATTTTCCCACAGGTCCGCTGATGATTCCTACAGGTCCACGGGGTACAGTCGCACAGAATCCTGGGATGCCTCCGGTGTCAAGCATTATGGAGGATGAAATTCTTATGGACCTTATCTAAGGACTGCTTTACCCATCAATCTTTGCTTCAGAGGTTTCATTACAGAATACAGGAGTCATCTAAGCTCTGTTCTTTTTACTTTTTGTTAGAAGCAGGTGCATAGGGGAAGGTTAGAGGTGTTTAGAGTGAGATCAAGAGTTTATTTTCATACTTGCATATTTGTTGATGCGTTTACACACAAACCTATCACCGTATCATGAGAGCGGTAACTTGATTGTACATACAGACGGACCGAAGAGCAAGGCGTTTCATCACTCTACACCTCTCGCCTCAAGATTAATCAAACAAATCCGGTTACTATTATATTTTTATGAAAGTTTTACTTTCTATCGCTTTTACTTTTTCTTAATTTGTCTTTTGAAATGTTGTATGTTGTTTTATGAAAACGAATAAAGTAAATTTTCTCAAGCAATTTTTGTGTTTGAGGTTTTCCTTAAAGTGATAATCCACCCACATAAATAAAAATTGCCATCATTTTCTCACACTCAAGTCATTCCAAACCTGTACGCATTTGGTTTCTTCTGTTGAGCACACAAAAAAACGATACTTTGATAAGTGTTGATAACCAAACAGTTTCAGTTCGCATTAACTTCCGTTGTATTTTTTGTCCTTACAATGGAAGTCAATGGGAACCAAATATGTTTAGTCACCAACATTCTTCAATATATCTTCTTTTCTTTTGAAGTCATACAAATTTTGGATCAGCATGAGGATGAGCAAATGATGACAGAGTTTTAATTTTCTGGTGGACTGTCCCTTTAAGGCAAAGTATTTGTTTGTGTGTCAACCTGGTAGTGCTGTGATAGCAGTGGATGAGTGACTTAAATAGACTGAATGATAGGTTGCAAAACGCTCGATTCTGCCAAATGGTGTCACAGCGTTAAAATTAACCACTCCAATATGTCATGGAACCATACAGTGGACCTTTGTGCCAAGTAGTTCTACCAGATGGCAGCACTTCGACACACTTTCCTTGGCATAACACGTAATCAGGCTGGACACAGACACAATGTATGACTACAATCCACACATATTCAGAGATACTTTGGATCTGTGCGGTCGTATATGCATAATCTGACACTGAATCGTTCTGATTAACCATCTTGTGTGCAGAACAAACACTTTTAATGAGCGAACGTGACTATCCCATCATGCTTATTCTTTCAGAGCACCCTAAGGTATTAATTATGAAGCGCCATGTGACATTACTACATATCTGTCACATTACGAATGCGTGTTCTGAATCCATCGCACCAGTAATGGAAACATGGGTGCACAATGTGAGTTATCAAGTGCTGACATTCAGGAGAATTAAACAGCCTCCGGTCAGAGAGCAGTCGACCGTTTTTAGTTGCGTTTATAATTTTGTTCAGTGTACATTAGGTAAGAATGTGAACTCGGGTTCCCTTGCTTATATGCTTATACAGTACTGTGAGTATGTAAGATGCATACTGCTGCTGCACAAATAGCATGTCTAATAACTTGTAGCAGATCTATATAGGTGGAGGTGGAGGGTTTTAGAGGAACTCTAAGGGTGCTTTCACACTAGCACTTTTGGTGTGCACCCGGGTTCGATTGACGTCAGAGTTCGGTACGTTTGGGTGATGTGAAAGCTGTCTTCCAAACTCTGGTGCGCACCCGCGTACTGTAACGTTACCCGAGTCCGCTGAAAAAGGGTGGTCTGGGGTACGGTTCATGTGAACTCAGGTACGGTTCGCTGCTGATGTGAACGCAATCATACCAAATCACGTAAGTGAACCGCTATTAATGACGTATTATTTGATAAAAATGTGTGTGTGTGTGTGCGCATTTCACTCACTTTCATGACGAGCGTGACTGAAGCAGAGAGCTGTATATGTCATTTCTGTTCACCTTCAGAGTACTTTAGAACATTTGCAGTACATTTGTAAGGCAGACGTAAGTGCCGTTATGTACTGAAGCTTTGGAAACAAACCAACGGTTCAAAAACATAAATATAAAATTGAAGAGAGCCTTGCTACGCATTTTGCCGTCTTCTCCTGCGCCATCGTTACTAAGCAACGGGGTAAACAGCTGCTGGCTTGATGACGCAAACGAACCGCGGTTCGGACCCAAATAATATTATGTGAACACAGTCCAGCGGGGGCAGGGGGAGGGGGGACCAATCGAACTCGGGTTCGAACCAAGCAATCGAACCAAGTGTGAAAGCACTCTAAAAGCACGCTGCAAGCTGCTCTAGTGAATGCTGACAATCCATTTATATTTAAAGCAGTAAGCTCATTGGCTGCATATGCAACATGAACCAATCAGCTTCTGCCAAGTAGTTTAATGCTATGAATATAATCAGTTTGAGTTAACTACCTGTGACGAGTGAGGCTGGGCCGAGAGCCGTGGGAGCGGAGCGAGGCCGGTGGAGTTAATGATAATGAGCAACATCTGTGCCACTCACCGGTCTCTAGTCCCACGGAGGAGCTCCAGAAGGATAAAAGGAGGAGTGACGACAGTGCATGACAAGAGAGGACCAGGCCTGGACTTTTTGTGTTTTGTGTGCGGCAGTCGTCCGCGAGTGGCTGCCACTTTAATGTTCGCCGGTTTAAATGTTCGCCGGTTCCCGCCTCCTTCTTCCCGATCTACGAACTGTTACACTACCCATCAGCCTGCGCCATCTAGAATTTCATGACAACTTGGCATATTGTTAAATACCAAAGAGACTGTGACATCTGCACCAAAAGCCTCATGGTTAGTGCACCCACATACAGCACAACTGCGCTCATGGTGCCCGAGTTTGATTCCCGTCTCGTGGTCCTTTGCCGATCCTGCCCCCCTCTCTCTCCACCCAATGCTTTCCTGTCACCTCTCTACTGTCCTGTCCCAATAAAAGCAGAAAATACCCATAAATATAACTTAAAAAAAGAAATGGCTTTTGATATTGCTGCACCAAAAGAAAACTTAATTTTACATCAAGATTTTTAAAAGGAAAGAAAAAACACTTTGTTGTATTATTATCACAGCAAAAGACAAAAAAAAAAAATTGATAGTTTAGGGCTTGTGTTTGTTAGTCTGCGATTTAGGAAGTGTTTGTAGTGCAGTCCAGCTTTAGATGTAAGTCACTCCTGCAATGCTAAGCTTTCATTCAGAAAATATTTGCTGTCACAGGGAACATATGCATCTGTACATACAAACATCTCAGCAATCAGCACTGAGCAAAGTGCTAACATTGCACTAACATTATGCAGTTAACAGTGAAAGTGTGCTTTGTGCTAATGCAGTAGTTAAACTTTAATGCAATTGGAAGTAACCGCAAGATGGCCCATGGAGTGTCACACATGGTTACATCTCACATCATGTTGCATATTATTGTTTTGTATTGCTGCCTTTCAAAAACGCACGCAAAGAACAGTAGCCCCACCTTTATGTCGTCTTGAGAGGACAACACAGGGTTTGACACAAACATGGCATGAATTACTTGCTGCATTAGATATATTCTGACATGCCCTTGAGAATAGCAAATTTTGATGTGGCTAAATCTGCTGGCATGGTTTAATGCAGCAGAGAGGAAGCAGCGCTTTCCACATGTCTGGAGGACTTGTGTGCAAAAAAAATACCGAGGCACAGATTTTACATTAGACACTCATATGCCAGAACACAAGAGTGGCTTCTGGAGAGCAACACTACAGCAGGAACCACTTTAAATAGAGTTCACAATAAAGAAAAAAAAATCTTTTCAAAGTCTAGTTTATAAATGTAGTCCTTCATGTCAGATTTGTATGGTTTCGAAAAACATTTATATTTTCATTTGCAAGGTCCAGTTTAATTAACTTGTTGCATTTTCCCTACACATTAAATGCATGTTAAAATAATGTCAGAGATCAAATATTTTTCAAGATAATTTTTTTTTCTTTTCAAAAGTAACAAGTTTTTGGGGATTCAGACCCTAACTTGGACTTTGCCTTGTCATAAAAAGGTGAAATTATCTGATATTTTAAGAGACTTTTTGACTCAGTCATGAGGGTCTGTAGGGATCCCCTTTATCATATTCTTTGTTTTGAAAAATAATAATAAATAAATAAAGATAATAAGCTGTGAAGCAGTTTATTTACCTAAGAAAAATAGTATCAGTTCTGTCATGACAACTCTCGAGGGATTGGCATGTTGTATTTGGTCTTGGTGGAATAGATCTGCTACACTGCTGCTGCTGCTGCTGCTACCGAGACTTGCTACTGCCAATACGTCCACAACATGCTGCTTTGAGCATGTAAGAAAAATTGCTGCTGCACATATAACATACACGAATAACCCCCATAGCATATATGATCACCCCGTAGCAGATCTATACAGGTGGAGCTGGGGAAGGTGGAGGGTTCCTGAAGTGTGCTGCTACTTCTACAGCAAACACTAGCCAAGTATTGGAATGTTGAGCAGCGAGCTCATTGGCTACCGATACAGGAGAGAACCAATCAGCTGTGACATGTGATGTCATTGTCATATTGAGTTAGATCTATCAGACTGCGCCATCTAGAGTTTCATGCTAGAACTTTGTATTTGTATCAGTACAGTATAATCATGACATTTTTCACCTATCAAAATTAAGGTAAATACAGAAATTAAAAACACAGGAGATGTGTGCTCAAATCCCTCCATGTGTGAATTGCATTTTGACTGTAGATTTGAACTAATTTGATCAAGAGCATCACGTCATTGACCCACATGACAAAAACAGATAGCTGGCACAGCAAAACTGAGCAGAAACTCATCCTGAGAGCACCGTGTCGTCCCAGAGTATTTCACTCTGCGGGTGAGGACACAGCGGCAAGCATTAACTCTGAAGCGTGGCGTGAAACGCGCCGTGTTCACTAAAGCTAGTAAAGCATTGCGGCGCTCTACTGGTGTACAATTCCAGGGTTGAGCTGTGGGCTTTCCCTCGGCTCCCTGTGAAGGGCGGTAATCACACACACAGGGCCTATAGTGTTCAGCACGCCCGCTCTGTCTTCATCATGTGAACTGCATTAATCCTCCAGCCGGCCCGCATCACTGTTCATTTAATGGCCTGTGGTGTCCACATAATCAGTCACATCTCAGTTCCCCCGCGAGAGAGACCGAAAGAGGGAGAATTACCAAGAAAAACACAGTCCACATGGTCAAAATACACACACTGCACAACGTACACGACTGCCATGCCGGAGAAGTGCGAGTGAGTTTGTGTGTGTGTTTAGGGGGGAACTAAACTAGAGAAAGGTTTTGTTTTAATTGGGGTGAAAGCGGAAGAGATGAGGCGATTGTAAATGAGGAGGGGGACAGCTTGCAGTCTTAATCAATGGAGATTGAGGGCTTTGACTCAGAGAGAGAGCAGTCAACAGGGAGACATA